ACTGGTTCAATTGCAACTATTTCTTGTGCAGCCATAGATCCTAATAAGCGTGTTAGTTTTCCAGTACCAGCTCCAAGATCAACAATAACATTAGGTTTATCATGAAGTGACTTAATAAATTCCATGGCATCATCTGGATATGTCGGTCGAGCTTGTTCATAGTTTTCAGCTGCTTTTTCAAAACCTTCAGCAGCAATTGGATTCATATTATGATTAGCCATTATTAACTGTGTATTTTTGTCTTGTTATCTGAAGATTTTAAAGAATGAAAAGATTTTCGAATGGACAAAGTATAAAAGCGTTTAAAACACAATTATTTCTATCTTGATAAATAGATGTATTGAATGAGAATAACATAAGAACAAAGGAAATGAAAGAGGAATTTAAGTGATATTAGCTAAAAACTTGATAGTTTCTCTTATAAATAATACCACAGTAATATTGACTAACGTTTAGAATAAATACTATTAACAGCAATTATATTCACTTCTTTAAAATTTAAAATGAATGAGAATTATTACTGTGATAATGTTTATAAAGATACATATCAAATTCATGATGTATCTGAAAAAAGTATTCACTCAAGTGATACTTAAAGAAGTTTTTTATAGTGATCTAGCGATTGATAAAGTACTTCTGTTTAATTGAATAACTAGGATCATATATATTTATATATTTATGATTAGAGTCATTTCAATTTAGTGCAGTATAATCCTTATAAAAAGTAGGTGAAAGGTATGTAGTCACGCTTTTAAGGAGTCCAACGAATAAAAGTAAAATATGAGAACCATTGTAGAGGCACAGTGAGATATGTCATGGTGAGTTGATTTAGCGTCAGAAATAGCTGGAAAAACACATAAATGTTCATATTTTTAGCGAATGAAGGATACAAAACAGATGTATAATACTATTAAAAGGGATCAAAAGCAGTCGTGCCGAACATTGTCTTTTATTGTTCGTTAGTATCAGTAACAATATTCATTCGATTTTGAACAGAAAAGAAACCAATTTATGGATTGATATTTTACTGGTGCTTGCAAGAAAATACTTGTATTTGATGTATCTATACTAGAAATTTTGTGTTTGACACACCGTACGTCGGATAAAGTTTATAAGACTATCGTAGCATCGACTCACAACAAAGTATTGACAATAACCATATTTAAATGATATCTTTTTTGTGCATTAATAAATTATCCTTAAATTTTTAAACTTTCCATACGACATATATATATACAGCTGAATATGTTACAAAACAAATGCACTTGAACTACAGAACTAAACAAGAAAAATATATATACACTCTAAGCACGATTATTTTATTTTTCAATCAGCTGTGCTCATATATGTACTACATTTCTTTTTTTTTAATTATTATTGTCTGCTCTGTTGATGATGATAATGAACAACGTCAGCTAGCGCTTTCAAAAGTGAGAAGAGTTGACACATACGGATCGCTTTAGCTCTCTAAATAGTATATCAAGTTTTAACGAAACTAAAAGATTCTTCGGATATAAAAGAAACACATTGTTTCGTATTGCAAGTACAAGTACAAATACTTTCGTTCAAGCTCTGCGCTAGCAACGTGTAAACCAGCATGTACTCCAAATATCGCAAAAGTTTTACACATTTTGATTCCGCTTGGCACACTTGCTAATCGGAACCTTGTTTATGATAACTGATAAACGAATGTCAATCGCTTAATTATTAAAATGTACTGCAGAAAAATATTTATCATAATCGTATTGCGAATTATACAAATTTTTACTAAAACTATTTTCATTTCTACACATATCTGAGACTGTATCTCTGTTTTTCGAAAGTTCGACATATTTAGTAGCGAGCTCAACACAAATAATGTCATTTAAATATTGCACTGATCAATGTTTTATTTTAAAGGAATGATATAAATAATTACTTTGATTAAAAAAATAAATAAAAAAATGTTTTCAAATAAATTACGATGATGATTTTAATGGTGAAGACCAATAAACATCTGTACGATGGCTAATATCAAATTCGTTTACATTTCGAATTTCTTCAATATCATTTAACATTTTTTTAACATTATCAACTAATTTTGTTTGTTCATCCGAAGGCAATGCTGCAACAAAGCTTGTTGATAAAATTCGATTTAAAACTAAATCTCTTGTTACTCGTTGTTTATGACTAAATTGTTTTTGTTGTAACAAAGAAAATAAATTTTGATTCTCAAAAACTGCTTTCCATTCCATTGATTTATAACGTGATACATCCTTCGGTTTAAATGAATCGACATATTTAGTTATATTATCAGCCCATTCAATACCTTGATTGTCTGAATTATTCCAAATAAGTATAAGTAAACCATTCGATTTTAATACCCGATTTAGTTCAGTAAGTGTCTGGTGAGTTGCAAACCAATGAAATGCTTGTGCACAAATGATTATATCAATGGAACTATCATCAAATGGAATATGTTCAGCTGTTCC